AAATCGCCCGAGAACAACATGAGGTCGGTTTCGCAACAATGTACTTTGGAGTATAGTTCGGAGAACATCTCGGATTCGATTCTGGATAAGAGTCCAGATCATGCGTCTCCCGTGACGGATTTGTTGAAGAAAGATGAGCCCGAGTCAGTTCCTAGGATATACGTCAATCCATCACACGATCTGCATAAAGGAGTACAAAGTAGAGCTAGTAGTGTAAATGATTTAGATGATTTATATCAACAGATAAGAAGAGGTCCAAAAGATGCAACGTCTCAATCACGGTCTTTTGTAAATAGCTTTAGCCTCACTCGAAATAGTCCGTGTTTCTCTGATTCCGATATTAATTCCTACGTTACCGACCATACGTACAGACATCGAACTTGCAACAGTAATACTAGTTTAAACGACGATGTCGAGACGACTGTTTAATTTGAGATTATTTATTGAGATTTTTGTATAGTATTTTTTTAATAGGGTTTAGTTTAAGTCGGTTTTCGATGATTTTCATGTCAATTGTGAGGAAACTGTGTCCATATTGTAAAAGGTAGGCGCGGCTTAGGGAAGACCAAACGTAACTGTCGGAATAAAACTTTCTTGGTTGTACCAAATACGAATACTCATTTAGTTGCGTCTGGAGCTCTCTACAGTCATTTTTTGCACTATTTATAAAAAGTTGTGCATTTGGCAACTTTGAATATTTTTTGTAAATATTCGGCTCCATACGATGTGTTCTTTAATTTTATCTTCTCTGATTGTTAGGGGTCGTGTTTGGGGTGCAATTCGGGCCAGAACTTATCGACTTATTATTATCAAATTAAAAACAAGGTTTCTAAGTTGACGGGCTAAAACTGTGCCCCGAATGCAATTTCTACTTGTAAATTGCCCCAGAGATGCTCAATTGTAACGGCATACGTTGTACTTTGTGTGCTTTGTTTTAACAGTGTGTACTTAGCTAAAAATACTTTATTGTATAACATATATTTTTTGTATGCGATTTATGGATATTATACATCGAAACGTGCATTATTAGTACAATTAAGAGTATTTATTTCTATGAAGTGTAGCCTATAATTAAGCTAATCGTGTGCACTTTTGATTAGGATCAGAACTGAAACGAAGGTTTCTGTGTAAGTTGGGTTATACACGAATCTTCCGCCATTGGAGTTTTACGTTTTTATGTCTCGCCTGAGTGCGAGCCGTATCCTGTGATATAGTAATTACGTTCAGTAGAACTCTTCGTTTTTAAACGGTTTTAATTTATAGACAAACTACATGTTATAGAGCTTACCGAGCTTTTGTAATGTACTTGCCAGGTTGAGTAATTTTCTTGCGCATGCATTGAGATTATGTCATTTGATGTTGACGCAAAGGCAGTCTGTTGTAAGTATTAAATGAAAGAGTACAATATGTACAATATTTTAAAGACTGTTAGGTATTAAAATGATATACAAATGCTGAAAATACTGTTTGTTAATAATATTATCTCTTTGTGTAAATGATTATTGTATTCGATGATTGAAAAAGAATAAATGCATTTACAGAGCACTTAAATCTAGTTTTACTTACCGAGTAAGAATAAATAGGTCTTCCGTCTGTTTGTCTGTCTGTCTGTCTGTCTGTCTGTCTGTCTGTCTGTCTGTCTGCCGTCCCGAGTTTTATTAGACAGATAATCTCCGAAAGTCCTGGGCCGATTGTTGTCAAATTTTGTATTTATATTAGGAATATCCTTTTATATAACTTTTATCCGAAACCAGATTTTTGAAAAAAAAAAAAAATCAAAATTATAAAACATTTTGCAATTTAATTTTGAATGTGGAAAACCGAATGCTTTGAAATCTTGCGGATGTTTTAAATTTATGATAGGCATATTACATTTTTAATCAAAATATATTTGCGTATCCCCTCCAAAAATTGATGACGTCAGCTCAAAGGTTTGCCGAATAAATCCGATCTAAAATGTACAAAATATGATGAGTCTGTACTTGATTTATCATTTCATTCATGTTTTTTAGATTTGCATCCTTATTAGACATATTTTGTCCCTCTTATATTAAAATTTGGTTTTCAGTTCTGTTTTCTGTGTAAAAAAAAAATTAAACATGCAAAAATGACGACTCTGAGAAAAGAGGCTTCAAATTTTACTCGTTTTGTATAACCCTGATTCAAAATTATTCGAAGGCTATCGGTGTTTTATTTTTGATACTCAATGTAAATTATTGAATTAAAAAAAATGGTCTAAAGTCATTTCCTCGCTTTTGAAGTCCGGTATAATATATTCAGTTTTGTCAGATAATTGTAAGATTCGATTTAGAGATTTTTTGCTGATAACGCAGTAAAGAGATCCATCTGGCGATGTTTCCTTTATTTTTTTGTTGTTTCTTTCGATTTACAATTTTTTATTTATTCAATTTTTCAAATTTTCAGGCTTTGATTTTTGAATTCCATGATTTTCCACGTTTAAAATTTTTCAACGTGCAGTTTTTGGATTTCCAGTTTTTCAGTTTCTTTAATTTTCAATATTTTGATTTTACAATACATATTTCTTTTTTTTATTTTTCACGTTTTCGAATTTTAAGTTTTTCAATTTTTAATCTTTCGATTTTTCAAATTTTCGTTTCTTCAAATTTTCATGTTTGATTTTGATTTTTGAATTTTACAGTTTCTTGAGTTCTAAATTTTTCAATTTTTCGATTTGCAATTTTTTAAATTTGCAATTTTTCGATATTACAGTTTCTCATTTTCGGTTTTCTTTCACATTCTGAATTTTTAATTTTTGTTATTTTCAATTTTTCGTTTCCTCGATTTTTTAATTTTCATTTCCTCGATTTTATGTCACAAATTTTCATTTTTTCAATTCCTTTATTTTTTGTTGTTTCTTTCGATTTTTCCATTTTTCGTTTCCAAGATTTTTCATGTTCCCGATTTTTATTTTTCAGTGTGGCGAATTTTTAATTTTTATTTTCTCGATTTATAATTGTCCAATTTTTCAACTCCCCGATTTTTATTTTGCGTTTTCCTGATTTTTATTTTTCATTTTCTCGATTTTATATCACAATTTTTTGTTTTTTCATTTCTTTAATTTTGTTTCTTTCGATTTTCCAATTTTTCGTTTATTCAGTTTTTCAAATTTTCAGGCCAATCGATTCCAATTCGTCGATTTTCCAATTTTTAAATTTTTCAGTTTGCAGTTTTTGGGTTTCCACCCCTTTTATACTTTTTGGATTTTCAATTTTTCGTTAAACTTTAGATTTCTCAAATTTTCGACAGTTTTATACTTCGATTTCTCAATTCTTTTTCAACTTTTCGATGTTTTAATATTTCTTTTTTAAAATTTTTTAATTTTTTTTATTTCTCGATTTATCGAATTCAGATGTTTGGATTTGTTCAATTTCTCAATTTCTCATTTTTTTTCTATTCGATGTTTCGATTTTTGGATTTCTCGGTTTTTCGATTTTCCAATTTTTCGATGTTTCAATTTTTCAGTTATCTGACTTATCAATTTTTTTAAATTCTGGAGTTTCGATTTGTCGATTTTTCAGTTTTTCGATTTTTAAGTTTTAGATTTTCGAATTTTTCTTTTTTGATTCTTTGATATTTGGATTTCACCATTTTTCAATTTTGCGATATTTGAATTGTTCAATGTTTTAAATTTTAGATTTTTCGATTTCTGAATTTTTTTATTTTCCAGGTCTGCAATATTTCTATTTTCCAATTTTTCAAATTTTGACGTTGCTAAATTTTCAGTTTTCCGATTTTTCAATTAATATATTTTTTTTGATTTTCCGATTTCTCGAATTTGCAGTTTCGGTTTTTCAGTTCTTCAATTCTTCGATTTTTGGATTTTTCGGTTGGCTAATTTTTAATTTCTCAATTTTCGACTGTTTTATATATATATATATTTCGATTTCTGAAATTTTCGAGTTTTCAGTTCTTGTATATTTTTCTTTTTTCCGAATTTTTAATTTTTCGATTTTTCAATTTTTTGAGAACTCGATTTATCGAGATTCGGATGTTTCGATGTTTTGATTGTGGCAATTTTTGAATTTTTCCATGTTTCGATTTATCCGTTTTTCGTTTTTTTACTTTTCGGCTCTTCAATTTTTGAATTATCCGATTTTTCAATTTTCCAAATTTTTTAATTTTCAAGTTTTGACGTTTCTAAATTTTCAGTTTTCCGATTTCTCAATTAGTCTATTTTTTGATTTGCCCATTTTTGACTTGCCCAAGGTTTCAAATTTTCAGTTTTTCAGTTCCTCAATTTTTCGATTTTTCAGGCTCCAGGTTTTTCAATTTTTCGATTTCCCAATTTTTGGATATTTCGTTCAATTTTGTGTTTTCTCAGTTTTTCGATTCTTCAATTTTTCAATTTAGGGATTTTTTAGTATTTCGACTTTTGGATTTTTCACGTTTTGGATTTTTCGATTTCTCGACTTTTTACTTTTTTGTTTTTCAATTTTTCGTTTTTCCAACTTTCGGTTTTCACAATATTTCAACTTTTCGATATTTTAAGTTTTCAATTTTTAAAATTTTAAGTTTTTCGATTTCTCGAGAGAAGAACACGAACAAAAACGGTACTAATAAAAATACAGGGTGTGAGTGAGAATATATCCGTTGATTCCCCCCAAAAAATTGATGGCATCATCTCCAAATTTTGCCGAATAAATTCTACCCAAAATATGATGAGTTTTTACTTGTTATTTATCAATGCAATCATATTTTTTGGATTTTCTTGAACAGGTGGCTCAAAAAATTAATGAATTGGCCAATTTATTTTATTCATTAAATCAGGAACGGCTCACTCCATTTTCGCAGAAAATTTTGGAAATTGTTCATTGTTATTTTTTAATTACCATTTTACACTAAATAAAATAAGTCAGTGAAATGGAGAAAGGAGCTGAGCCGGGCTAAATTTAGCTTTTTCTAGTTTTATGAGCAAGCAATAGCCCCGCCCACCCACCCCTTCTTCGTTCCAGTTTTAGCTTGTCAAAAAAATTCGTGCGTACGAACTTAATAAAATTTTATTTTTAGTAAAGATCAGTACGTATAATTATTAACAATTACCGCAACGAACAACAAATGTACAACATTATTAAACATAATTTTGTCTCAGTTGGTTTCAATACCGTTGATCGTTCGTACAATGATGTCGGCAGATTCCTTGAGTTGATCCTTAGTTATTACCAGCGGTGGGGCGAACCGGATGATGTTATCATGGGTGTGTTTTGCTATCAGACCATTTTCTTTCAGTTTTAAGCAGATATCCCAAGCTTCAATGTGATCTAAAAAATGTTATTACCTAAGTTACGAATTAACGATAACCCCATTATCTTTATTTCTTTTTTTAACTCAAATGGAAATTTTTATTGTCATTCTAAAAATACACTGCAGCAGTGATAATTCTACCGAAGATCAAGGATCTGTCATTGTCGTGACACTTGATTTAATTGAAACAATTTTATTTTCAAGGACTTACTTTTGTTTATGACTATGGCGTTTAATAACCCTCTTCCTCTGACTTCAATTACGATGTTTTTGTTTAATTTCTTTCTCAGTTCTGTTCGGAATATCTCCCCTAGTTCGAAAGCATTATTGGCTAAATTTTCTTCCTCGAGGATTTCGAGGGCCGCGATTGCCACTTTAGACCCCAGCGGATTGCCACCAAAGGTGGAACCGTGTGTACCTGGAAACAAAAAAGGTCACATTTGTACGGTGACGTCATAGTACTTACCGGGTTCCACTACTAACATAATCGGATCATTGGCCAGACACGCCGACACCGGATAAACCCCGCCCCCTAAAGCCTTCCCTAGTACCAAAATATCAGGCTTAACATCCTCATAATCCACGGCTAATCTCTTCCCAGTTCTCCCTAATCCAGTCTGTATTTCATCCGCGCTCCACAAAACGTTGTACTTAGTACAAAGGGTGCGCACCCCGTTCAAATAACCCTCACTGGGTACCACAACCCCCGCCTCGCCTTGAATGGGCTCCACCATGAACCCACAAACCAAAGGATCCTGAAGCGCTTTCTACAAAAAAGTCGGTAGGTAACACTTTTCGACAACTTTTTCACACTCACTTCTAAAGCCTGGAGATCGTTATAAGGAACACAGCTAAACCCAGGCATGAAAGGACCATAATTTTCAAAAGATAAAGGATCCGTGGAGGCGGAAACCGCCGCTAATGACCGCCCCCAGAAATTATCCACCGCGAAAATCATTTTGGCTTGATCTTTGGGGATTTTCTTGACTTTGTAGCCCCATTTTCGCGAGATTTTGCAAGCTGTGTCGTCGGCTTCCACACCTAGAGGAGACCATGAGTTTGGTTGGTACAGAAAGAGGGGTAAAAGTGACCTGTATTCATTGGCATGACCTTGTCGTAGCCGAAGAGCTTGGTCACAAAGCTGGCGTACTCCCCGAAGACGTCCGAGTAGAAAGCTCGGGAGGTGTGGTGCAGAACTTGCGCTTGTTTTTGAAGGGTTTCTACGATTTTGGGGTGGCAGTGGCCGTAGTTGTTGGCCGAGTAGCCGCTGAGGTAGTCGTAGTAGCGTTTACCTTCGACATCCCACACGAATACACCTAGGGAGATAAAGTGAACATTTGTGTTATCTACACGTAAATATTTTTTATTGATTGTGAATCATATCAATAAAGTTGCACTTTGATTGTTTACCTTGTCCTTTCGCCAGAGCTACCGGCAACGGGTGATAATTGTGAGCTGCGAATTTGTTTTCTCGGTCTATCACTTCTTTACTACTGAGGTATCTGATCCCTTCATGGTTTACAAGGGCGCTTTCTAGTTTGCGTTTGATGATGGACGTTGAACGGAATTTGGAGAACATCGTCGACGAAAGTATCTGAAGTAAACAAAGATTTAAGTTGGATTTCGTGCCAGCTAGACTTGCAGATTTAATTCAACGGAAAGTAAAATATATTTTCTAAATTTAGTAGACACGACGTTGAACGTTTTTGTTAACACCTAAAAAGCGTGAAGATAACGACTTTCCAGTTAAAAATAGGTGCGAACTTTGCCCACTTTGTGTAAATTACCACCATGGAAACAATCACCACACTAAAAATTCACTTACACAGAACTGTGTTCAACTGGAGTCACTCAAAACACTTCCTCATACCCTGGATTTGTTTATTCCGTATTGTGGAAATTGTGACCTTCTTAGCACTGACCAGACAACATTCTGCAGAACTCGTATTCACTCATACACAACTGACCATTGAACACTGTTTTGAGTGTTTATTTTCATAAAAGTGTGGTGGAATGAGTCTTATCTTTGCGCGTCTTCTGCTTTGAAAAGACGCAAGTTAACACAGTGAAACCATTACTACGCAAAGTAGTTACTATTGACCTTGGTGATGTTTTTATTGAACGTAAAATATGTAAATGAATTTACCTCAGCGCCTAAAGCCAGGCCTGTGTTTATCAAATTCAAACCGTTATAACAAAAATGTGCTAAAAATAGACTTTGGAATAATAGACGCAACGTAGACGTGTCTGATTAGTACAACTCTGAAATTAATTTATTTGATCTTGGGTTTTTTTAATCAATTGTTCAATTATACAAAAAAAATCTGGTCAAGGGAATCTGTGAAAATAACATCAGTTATTTTGAATTATGGCAATTTTGTGGACGTACTGTTTATAACACACATAAATATACAGTTTTATTTTTATAACCCCTGAATACCTTTCTAAAAAATCCAATTACTTTGGTAATTTATAACAACTTACTTGCAGTGATGAGGAATAAATATGTAAACAAATTCCGCTATAATTTTATTTTTTAGAGATAAGCTGCACAATATAAATACGTACTTTAACAGTGACGGGTTGTTACTGATTGATTAATTACACAAAAATGTTTATCTGTGTGGTTCTCTTAAATAACACTTGGTCACTGACGTTTATATCTTATTGGATAGGTAAATATAGTTATACTGTACGTGTCTTATCAATTGTTATCAATAAGCTTGAACTATCAGAATGTTGTTGCTCTGTTCTAAAAATAGAGCTCCAGTTTCATTAATATGTTGATTTAATATCATTTTTTACACATTGTTTTTTTTTTTTTAATTTCACAATTAGTAGTTTCGACATTTCGTCTACTTTTGATAATTCCGGGCCATAAATGCCACTTTTTGGGCTTTCTGCACCACTTCAGCGCAGTCGCACTTCTTCAAAAATTTGCAGTTTTCGAAAAACCCCTCGTATTTCGGAAACCCATTACTTCCGTCGCTGAAAGTCACTACACCTGCAAATCAAAAATCGTTTTTCGTGTCACGATTAATGCCTATTCATACCCAAGCCCCACATTTTCCCCCCACGAAACTGTCCCTCGTAGCGCATACCATCCGCCCTCCAAAACACCCCATATCCGTGGTACCATCCGTCCAGAAACTCCCCTTCGTATCTGCAACAACAACTCAATTAGGTTTTATTTGTTTTCGTGGCTAATTTGCCACAAAAGTGTAACTTTAAAGCTTTTTTGAGAGAATTTATATGGAGCGCTCGCTATCGAATTTCACTTTAAAACTAATTAAACCTGGCTTCAGTGCCGTGGCAACATTATTCAGTAATTGAATCCATAGTAGCATCGAAGTTGAAAACTAAATCGATACTGAAAATAATTAAAATATCCGGAACGCTGAAAGTTTGACGTGAAATGGCTGCTGAAAAATTGGTGCGGAGTTAATTGAGGGTAATTAGGGTGTTTTGCTTACTTAGCGCCATCAGGGAAGGTTAGTAGTCCTAGACCAGTGAACAAGTTTTCGTGGAAGAATCCGTCGTATCTGGTACCTTGGGGTATTAATAAGTGGCCATATCCGTGTTTTTGGCCCTCGGTGTTCCATGTGCCGACGTAAACCATGCCGTTTTCGTATCGAAAGCCGCCAGAATGAGCTACATTTTCAATTTTACTGAGTTATGGTTAAGTAGTGTCATAAAATGTGTAAATTACCTGTTCCTTGCACGTCCATCGAAAACTAATAAATGTCACGTACTTGCTTAAAGTTTCTTTGTACTTGTTTGTATCTAGCTCTTGTGTTTTTAAACACAGAATGGCTTCCTTGAAAGTAATTTAATTATGAAATTATGTTCGGTTAGTGTGAAAATATAAGGTTACTTTTGGCTTCAAAAGTAATGTTAAAGGGGGGTAAGTAACAGATTTTATGATTCTCGATGTTTAAGCAAACGCTTTGTTATATTAATTTATTCATTTATACTCTTTCAAAAAATCGATGACGTCAGCTCAAAATCTTGCCGAATAAATCCTCCCTGAAACATGCAATAGTTTTTAGAATTAGGTACTTAAACATACTGCGGCATTCGTAGTTTTGGTTTATGAATCCGTGTTGAGTTTTCCCTAGGTATTCAGATTTTCGCAAAAAAAATCAAATTGAATAACATTTATTTTTGTAAAATCCGGAGTCCTTCAGTAGTTTGAAAGAATCTCGAGGACCACTTCTGATTTGTTTTTGAAGAAGTTTGAAGAAGTTTTGATTAAAAAAGATGTGTTTTTGAAAGTAATTTGAACAAATTTTGTGGCTCTCTGGTGTGTTTTTTTTTTGAGAGAATTTTGGAAACTCCTAGTGTTCCGTTTTGAATCCTGATGTTTTGTTCTTGAAATAATTTAAAAAATTAGAAAATTCATAGTATTTGAAGTTTTTGAAAGAATTTTGAAGAAATTGTTGGACCGGGTGATGGTTTTATCTAATATGTAGATTTGAAAAAATATTAAGGGTTTTTGATATTTTGGAAGCTCTTGCTGATCCGATTTTTTTAAAAATTGAAAGAATTTGAAGTAGTTTGAAAGAATCTGGGTAAGAGCACTTTTTTGTTTTGTTTTTGAAGTAGTTGTAATTTAAAAAGATGTGTTTTTGAAAGTAATTTGAAGAAATCTTGTGAGTCTGTTGGTTTTTTTAATAAATATGAAAATTTTGTGGCTTTTGATGCTTTTAAATAAATGTGACATAATGTTGGGGGCTCCTGGTGTTTTTTTTTTTTTTTGGAAGAATTTGGAAGAACATAGAAGCATTTTAGAGACTCTTGGTGACCCTTTTGAAAGAAACTGAAAGAATCTTTGGAGCTCCTAGTGTTCCGTTTTTGATAAAAAGTGGCGGAATTTTGGGGAATCTTGGTGTTTTTTTTTTTATTAAAAGTATATTGGTGAATCCTAATGTTTTAGGAAGTTTGAAGTTTTTGAATGAATTTTGAAGATATTTTTGGACCGGGTGGTGCTTTATCCTAATAGATTTGAAAAAATGTTGAGGGTCCCTGGTATTTTGTTTTTGAAAGAATTTGTAAGAATATTGAGAACCCCTGCTTTTCTATTAAAAAAAAATTGAAAGAATTTTGGAAGTTCTTGGTGATCCGTTTTTTTTTTTTAATTGAAAGAATTTGAAGCAGTTTGAAAGAATCCTGAGGATCCCTGGTTTTATTTTTGAAGTAATTTAAAAAAATCTCAGGAACCACTCATGTATTGTTTTTGAAGTAGGTTGAAAGAATCTCCGGGAACACTTGTGTTTGGTTTTAAAAGTAGTTTGAAAAAATCTTGGGGTAGTTTTTGAAATAGTTTGAAAGAATCTCGGGGATCCTTTGTGTCTAGTTTTTGAAGTAGCTTTAAGAATCTCCGGGACCTGTAGTGTCTGGTTTATGAAGTAGTTTTAAGAACCACGGGGACCTCCAGTGTCTGATTTTTGAAGTAGTTTGAAAGAATTTCGAGGACCTCTCGTATTTTGTTTTTGAAGTAGTTTAAAAGAATGTCGGGGAACTTTATGTCTGGTTTTTAAAGCAGTTTGAATGAATCTGCGGGAAACCTTGTGTTTTGTTTTTGAAGTAGTTTGAAAGGATCTGGGGAACCCCTTATGTTTCGTTTTTAAAGTAGTTTGAAAGAATCGTGGTTTGTTTTTGAAGTAATTTGAAAGAATCTCCGGGACCCTTGTGTCTGGTTTTTGAAGTAGTTTGAAGAATCTCGAGGATACCTTTGTTTTGATTATGAAGTACTTAGTTTGTAAGAATCTCGTGAATCCAGGCTTTTGTTTGGTTTTTGGAATGGTTGGAAAGAATTTCGGAGATCCATTTTGGTTTGTTTTTCAAGTAGTTGAAGGAATCTCGGGTACCTCTTGTGCCGGGTTTTTAAAGTACATAGTTTGAAAGAATCTCAGTGACCTCTTTTGTCTAGTTTTTGAAGTAGGTTGGAAGAATCTCGGGGACCCTTTGTGTCTAGTTTCTGAAGTAGTTTTAAGAATCTCGGGGACCTTTAATGTCTGGTTTTTGAAGTAGTGTGAAAGAATTTTGAGGACTTCTCGTGTTTTGTTTTTGAAGTGCATAGTTCGAAAGAATCTTGGGGATCTCTGGTCTTATTTTTGAAGTAGTTTGAAAGAATCTCGGGGACTTCTTGTGCCCGGTTTTTGAAGTAGTTTGAAAGAGTCTCAGGGAGCACTTTTTTGTGTTGTTTTTGAAGTAGTTGTAATTTAAAAAGATGTGTTTTTGAAAGTAATTTGAACAAATCTTGTGAGTCTCTGTTGGTTTTTTTAATAAATATGAAAATTTTGTGGCTTTTGATGCTTTTTAAATACATAATCTTGAGGGCTCCTGGTGTTTTTTTTTTTTAGAAGAATTTGGAAGAATTTAGAAGCATTTTAGAGACCCTTGGTGACCCTTTTGAAAGAAACTGAAAGAATGTTTGGAGCTCCTAGTGTTCCGTTTTTGATAAAAAAGTGACGGAATTTTGGGAAATCTTGGTATTTTTTTTATTAAAAGTATACAGGGTGTTTCTTTTATTTGATACAACCCATGTAACTTTTTTATTCTTAAAGATAAACCTGTAATTCTTTGACCAAATGTATCATTTTAAAAGATCTATGTGATGGCAACCTCACATTTACATTATTACTTCCGATAGAACCGGAAATGACATCATCTTTTTTTTTATGGAACCCTAGGTATATTTTTTCATAAATGGAAAGACTGTGATTTTTTCTAAAAATCACAGGGAGCCAATATTTCTAAAATCAATACTTAAAAAGTTATTAAATAAAATACACGAAAAATTCATATTAATTGATGACAATCTAGTAGCTTGAAAAATTGATACTCATGTCATTTATTCACATAGATGATCTTTTAAAATGATACAAATTTGGTCAAAGAACTATATGTTTATTTTTTTAAATAAAAAAATTTCGGGGGTTGTATCAAATAAAAGAAACACGTATTATTGGTGAATCCTAATCTTTTCTTCTTGAAGTAATTTAAAAAGTTAAGAAGTTTGAAGTTTTTGAAGGAATTTTGAAGAAATTTTTGGACCGAGTGGTGCTTTTTCCTAATAGATTTGAAAAAATGTTGAGGGTTTCTGGTATTTTGTTTTTGAAAGAATTTGTAAAAATATTAGAAGCCCCTGCTTTTCTATTAAAAAAAAATTTGAAAGAATTTTGGAAGTTCTTGGTGATCCGATTTTTTTAAATTTTAAGAATTTGAAGTAGTTTGATAGAATCTTGAGGATCCCTTTTTTAGTTTTGAAGTAATTTGAAAAAATCTCGGGAATCATTCATGTATTGTTTTTGAAGTAGGTTGAAAGAATCTCCGGGAACCCTTGTGTCTTGTTTTTGAAGTAGTTTGAAACAATCTGGGGCCCCTTTTGTTTTGTTTTTAAAATAGTTTGAAAGAATCTTGGGGACCTATCGTGGTTTGTTTTTGAACTAGTTTTAAGAATCTCAGGGAACTCTAGTGTCTGGTTTTTGAAGTAGTTTGAAAGAATTTCGAGGACCTCTCGTGTTTTCTTTTTGAAGCGGTTTAAAAGAATCTCGAGCATCTCTTGTGCCCGGTTTTTGAAGTAGTTTGAAAGAATCTCGGGGACCTCTTGTGTCTAGTTTTTGAAGTAGTTTGAAAGAATCTCGGGGATTCTTTGTGTCTAGTTTTTGAAGTAGCTTTAAGAATCCCGGGAACCTGTAGTGTCTGGTTTATGAAGTAGTTTTAAGAATCACGGGGACCTCTAGTGTCTGATTTTTGAAGTATTTTGAAAGAATCTCGAAGACTTCTCGTATTTTGTTTTTGAATAAGTTTGAAAGTATCTCGGGGAATCCTTCCGTCTGATTTTTAAAGTAGTTTGAAAGAATCACCGAGAACCCTTGTGCCTTGTTTTTGAAGTAGTTTGAAGAATCTCGAGGATACCTTTGTTTTGATTTTGAAGTACTTAGTTCGTAAGAATCTCGAGAATCCACGCTTTTGTTTGGTTTTTGGAATGGTTGGAAAGAATTTCGGAGATCCATTTCGGTTTGTTTTTCAAGTAGTTGAAAGAATCTCGGGAAAATCCTTGTGCCCGGTTTTTGAAGTAGTTTTAAGAATCTTGGGGACCTCTAGTGTCTGATTTTTGAAGTAGTTTTAAAGAATCTCGAGGACTTCTTCTGTCCGATTTTTGAAGTACATAGTTTGAAAGAATCTCGGCGACGTCTTTTGTCAAGTTTTTGAAGTAGTTTTAAGAATTTCGGGAACCTCTAATGTCTGATTTTTGAAGTAGTGTGAAAGAATTTCGAGAACCAGTCGTGTTTTGTTTTTGAAGTAATTTGAAAGAATCTGGGAAACTCCTTGTATTTTGTTTTTAAAGTAGTTTGAAAGAATCTCCAGAATCCTTATGTCTGGTTTTTGAACCAGTTTGAAAGAATCTCGCATTTCTTTTATATTTTGTTTTTGAAGTAGTTTGAAAGAATCTCGAGAATCCCCACTTTTGTCTGGTTTTTGAAGTAGTCGGAAATCCATTTTGCGTTGTTTTTCAAGTAGTTGAAGGAATCTCGGGGACTCCTTCTGTCTGATTTTTAAAGTAGTTTGAAAGAATCTTGGGGACTTCTCGTGGTTTATTTTTGAAGCAGTTTGAAAAAATCTCCGGGACCCCTTGTCTCTGAAGTAGTTTGAGGAATCTTGGGGATACCTTTCTTTTGATTTTGAAGTAGTTTGAAAGAATCTCCGGAATCCTTATGTCTGGTTTTTGAACCAGTTTGAAAGAATCTCGCATTTCTTTTATATTTTGTTTTTGAAGTAGTTTGAAAGAATCTCGAGAATCCCCGCTTTTGTCTGGTTTTTGAAGTAGTCGGAAATCCATTTTGCGTTGTTTTTCAAGTAGTTGAAGGAATCTCGGGGACTCCGTCTGTCTGATTTTTAAAGTAGTTTGAAAGAATCTTGGGGACTTCTCGTGGTTTATTTTTGAAGCGGTTTGAAAAAATCTCCGGGACCCCTTGTCTCTGAAGTAGTTTGAGGAATCTCGGAGATACCTTTCTTTTGATTTTAAAGTAGTTTGAAAGAATCTCCGGGATCCCTTGTGTCTTGTCTTTGAAATAGTTTGAAAGAATGTCGGGGAATCTTGTGTCTGGTTTTTAAAGCAGTTTGAAAGATCTCTGGGAAACCTTGTGTCTGGTTTTTGAAGTAGTTTGAAAGAATCTGAGGAATCCCTTGTGTTTTTTTTAAAGTAGTTTGAAAGAATCGTGGTTTATTTTTGAAGTAATTTGAAAGAACCTCCGGGACCCTTGTGTCTGGTTTTTGAAGTAGTTTGAAGAATCTCGAGGATACCTTTGTTTTGATTTTGAAGTACTTAGTTTGTAAGAATCTCGTGAATCCAGGCTTTTGTTTGGTTTTTGGAATGGTTGGAAAGAATTTCGGAGATCCATTTTGGTTTGTTTTTCAAGTAGTTGAAAGAATCTCGGGTACCTCTTGTGCCCGGTTTTTGAAATACATGGTTTGAAAGAATCTCGGTGACCTCTTTTACCTAGTTTTTGAAGTAGTTTGGTGGAAGAATCTCCGGGACCCTTTGTCTCTGAAGTAGTTTGAGGAATCTCAAGGATACCTCTCTTTTGATTTTGAAGTAGTTTGAAAGAATCTCCGGAAACCCTTGTGTCTTGTCTCTGAAGTAGTTTGAAAGAATGTCGGAGAACTTTGTGTCTGGTTTTTAAAGCAGTTTGAAAGAATTTCCGGGAAACCTTGTGTCTGGTTTTTGAAGTAGTTTGAAAGAATCGGGAGAACTCCTTGTGTTTTGTTTTCAAAGTAGTTTGAAAGAATCGTGGTTTATTTTTTAAGTAATTTGAAAGAGTCTCCGGGACCCTTGTATCTGGTTTTTGAAGTAGTTTGAAGAATCTCAAGGATACCTTTGTTTTGATTTTGAAGTACTTAGTTTGTAAGAATCTTGTGAATCCAGGCTTTTGTTTGGTTTTTGGAATGGTTGGAAAGAATTTCGGAGATCCATTTTGGTTTGTTTTTCAAGTAGTTGAAAGAATCTCGGGTACCTCTTGTACCCGGTTTTTGAAGTACATAATTTGAAAAAATCTTGACGACTCCTTGTGTCTAGTTTTTGAAGTAGTTTGGAAGAATCTCGGGGACCCTTTGTGTCTAGTTTCTGAAGTAGTTTTAAGAATCTCGGGGACCTTTAATGTCTGGTTTTTGAAGTAGTGTGAAAGAATTTTGAGGACCTCTCGTGTTTTGTTTTTGAAGTAAATTGAAAGAATTATTAATTGAGGATCCCTGGTTTTGTTTTTGAAGTACATAGTTCGAAAGAATGTTGGGGATCCCAGGTTTTATTTTTTGAAGTAATTTAAAAAAATATCGGGAACCACTCATGTATTGTTTTTGAAGTAGGTTGTAAGATTCTCCGGGAACCCTTGTGGCTTGTTTTTGAAGTAGTTTGAAACAATCTGGGGAACCCCTTTTGTTTTGTTTTTAAAGTACTTTGAAAGAATCTTGGGGACCTATCGTGGTTTGTTTTTGAACTAGTTTTAAGAATCTCAGGAACCTCTAGTATCTGGTTTTTGAAGTAGTTTGAAAGAATTTCGATGACCTCTGGTTTATCTTTTTGAAGCGGTTTAAAAGAATCTCTGACATCTATTGTGCCCGGTTTTTGAAGTAGTTTGAAAGAATCTCGGGGACCTCTTGTGTCTAGTTTTTGAAGTAGTTTGAAAGAATATCGGGGATTCTTTGTGTCTAGTTTTTGAAGTAGCTTTAAGAATCCCGGAGACCTGTAGTGTCTGGTTTATGAAGTAGTTTTAAGAATCACGGGGACCTCTAGTGTCTGATTTTTGAAGTAGTTTGAAGAATCTCGAGGATACCTTTGTTTTGATTTTGAAGTACTGAGTTCGTAAGAATCTCGAGAATCCACGCTTTTGTTTGGTTTTTGGAATGGTTGGAAAGAATTTCGGAGATCCATTTCGGTTTGTTTTTCAAGTAGTTGAAAGAATCTCGGGAAAATCCTTGTGCCCGGTTTTTGCAGTAGTTTTAAGAATCTTGGGGACCTCTAGTGTCTGATTTTTGAAGTAGTTTTAAAGAATCTCGAGGACTTCTTGTGTCCGGTTTTTGAAGTACATAGTTTGAAAGAATCTCGGAGACGTCTTTTGTCGAGTTTTTGAAGTAGTTTTAAGAATCTCGGAAACCTCTAATGTCTGGTTTTCGAAGTAGTGTGAAAGAATTTCGAGAACCAGTCGTGTTTTGTTTTTGAAGTAATTTGAAAGAATCTCGGGGATTCCTTCTGTGTGATTTTTAAAGTAGTTTGAAAGAATCTACGAACCCTTGTGTTTTGTTTTCGAAGTAATTTGAAAGAATTTTGGAAACCCCTTGTATTTTGTTTTTAAAGTAGTTTGAAAGAATCTTGGGGACTTCTCGTGGTTTGTTTTTGAAGTAGTAAAAAAAAAAATCTCCGGGACCCCTTGTCTCTGAAGTAGTTTGAGGAATCTCCGGGATACCTTTCTTTTGATTTTGAAGTAGTTTGAAAGAATCTCCGGAATCCTTATGTCTGGTTTTTGAACCAGTTTGAAATAATCTCGCATATCCTTTCTGAAGTAGTTTGAAAGAATCTCGAGAATCCCCGCTTTTGTCTGGTTTTTGAAGTAGTCGGAGATCCATTTTGCGTTGTTTTTCAAGTAGTTGAAAGAATCTCGGAGACCACTTATGCCCCATTTTTGAAGTAGTTTGAAAGAATCTTTGGGACTTCTCGTGGTTTGTTTTTGAAGCAGTTTGAAAAAATCTCCGGGACCCCTTGTCTCTGAAGTAGTTTGAGGAATCTCGTGGATCCCTTTCTTTTGATTTTGAAGTAGTTTGAAAGAATCTCCGGAATTCTTATGTCTGGTTTTCGAACCAGTTTGAAAGAATCTCGCATATCCTTTATATTTAGTTTTTGAAGTAGTTTGAAAGAATCTCGAGAATCCCCGCTTTTGTTTTGTTTTTGAAGTAGTCGGAGATCCATTTTGCGTTGTTTTTCAAGTAGTTGAAAGAATCTCGGGGACCACTTATGCCCGATTTTTGAAGTAGTTTGAAAGAATCTGCGGGACCCTTTAACTCTGGTTTTTGAACTAGTTTGAAGAATCTCGGAGACACCTTTGTTTTGATTTTGAAGTAGTTTGAAACAATCTCTGGAATCCCCGCTTTTGTTTGGTTTTTGGAGAGGATGGAAAGAATTTCGGTGATCCGTTTTGTTTTGTTTTTCAAGTAATTGAAAGAACCTGGGGGACCTCTTGTGTCCGGTTTTTGAAGTAATTTGAAAAAATCTCGGGGACTCTTGTGTCTAGTTTTTGAAGTAGTTTGAAAGAATCTCGGGGATCCTTTGTGTCTGGTTTTTGAAGTAGTTTGAAAGAATGTGGGGACGCCCTTTTGTTTTGTTTTTAATGTAGGTTGAAAAAATCTTGGGAACCTTTCGTGGTTTGTTTTTGAAGTAGTTTGAAAAAATCTCCAGGACTCCTTTTATCTATTTTTTGAAGCTTGGGTATCACTTGTGCCCGGTTTTTAAAGTAATTTAAAAGAATATCGAAGACTCTTGTTTGTTTTTGAAATAATTTGAAAGAATTTCGAGGACCCCGTGTGCCTGGTTTTTGAAGTAGTTTGACAGAATTTGTTTCTCTTGTTTTGTTTTTGAAATAGTTTGAAGAAATTCTGCGAACTTGTTGTGTTTAGTTTTTGAAGTATTTTAGAAGAATATTGGGGAACCTTTTTGTCTGTGTTGAAATAATTTGAAATAATCCCAGGAGTTTCTTGCGTCTGGTTTAAGTAGTTTAAAAGATTCTCATGGACTTCTTTTGAATGTATTATACTTTAACCACCCATACTCTGCCACTGCTTTCGATTCGAACATATTGTGTTTCGAAAACCCGCTTTTTGAATTTGTTTATATTTGGTCTGGCACGGAGTGCCTGGAAATGGGGTGAACATCCACACAAGTACTGATATAAAAATCAAGACGGATTCATAAACCAAGACTACAAATACGGAAGCACGTTAGTCTATAGAATAGACCCTATTACAATATTACCATAGTTTACGCTTGTGTTGTAAGAATCTCCAGCAGACACATGGAAAAACAGAAAGAAACGTGAAATCAATATTTTCATATTCTGGAGGCTGCGAAGAGTTGAAAAACATTAAATCAGAAAGTAAAAATGCTTTACTACGAACAGTGGCGTTTACGGAATTGCAGTGTCTTTTGTCGGGACAAATATCCGTGTGGTAACCGGACCAGACTTGACTTGACTAAACCTGACCTGATCTCATCATTGTTGTCGCTTGAATGCTGGTAGTCTTTCACGCTACTTATACTTACTCCCCAATTATCTCGCAAGTGGCCCTGAACCCGTATTAGTTTGGACTCAAAAAAAATGTGTTCAAAGCTTCCCCCGTGTGTCTTTTGTGTCAAAAATTTTACAATTTTCTTGATATATTTTCAATTTCTATGTTTCTCAGTTATCAAACGTAACCGACTAATCACCAACCTTAGTCAAGAATTTGCCAGCAATGCAAATACTTGCGAAAAAATGCCACTTATCCACCCAACGCTGCATTTTTTCCCACCCAACTGCCAACCCATGACAGTGTCATTTCCCCCGAGCATGGCGCACCATCAGCGCCGCTCATTTTTTGCAACAATGTGTCTTTTGATTAAATAAAAACATTAGCCATTGCACCGAAAATCCATATCGTTTGTTACGTCAAGCGCCGGCGTAGAGACGCCTATTTTCGACGCTCAAACGTAGTTCTCCATTCACATCAGCTGCGACTACTATGGTGCACGCAGCCTTGTTGATTTTGTCCTCGCTGGTCGCGGGGACACTCCAGTTTCAGCTGAAGCACCACAATAACGAAGAACTTCTCCAAGTGCTTCAAGACGTCAACAGCAGGTGTCCGAACATCACGAGGATCTACACTCTGACTGAAACATCTGTTCTGGGTACTCCGCTGTACTTGATCGAGTTCTCCACGAAACCTGGACACCACGAAATTAGTAAGTTTTGGGGTGGGATAGAGGGGATTGTGGCGGATTTTGACGGGTTGGTTTGAGTGGGTTGTCAAAATTTTGTGCGGTGTTGCCATATTTTGGCGTAAATTAATTAGAATGACGTCAAAGAGCAACAGATGGATAGGCAGATCAAACACATCGACTTAATTTATTATTTGTTGCTATAGACGTATGTCGAATAAGTTGTGGGAGGTGATAAGGAAATGTTTGGGTAATAAATATTTTATTGGCCGCTCTACATAACTTTACATAATATCGACACACGTGAAAAAAACACATGGCATTTAAACGAGAATTTTAGTAATTTATTTTAGGGATCATTGTGTCACTTGATATGGTCAAGGTTAGCGTTGTTAAGATTGTTTTCAAGAACGCAAAATTTGTTACAAAGTCTTGTATCATTTTTTCTTCATACCATTTAATAGTTACACATCAAATTCATTTTTAAATTCTTTATAATATGAGAAAAAAAAGCTGATATGATTGTTTTTTATTTTGGTGACCATGTTTAAGAAAATTGCCACTCCGCCATTTTTAAACATGAGACTTATGATTTCGCAAAACTTGTAAAATGAGTTGAATATTAAAGTTACAAAAATGTTTAATGACGTCACACCGCGTTTTAAACTCTTCACAAACCAGATTTGAAGCTAACTGAAAATCTGATTAAAATTTGTTCTTAATTTAACTTGTGTCAAACTTTTTTAAAATTGTTTGGAACACTGGATATCAATGATTTCAGAATGTTTGTTTTTTTTTTTCTAAAGAGAGCTTTTTCTCCAAGTCAAGTGTGTGGAAATAAATAAAAATCTAAATTTACTTTCACGATTTTCAAGATTTGCTGTAATATACACGTTTGACCTGATGTAAAAAAGCGTGGTCCTAATACTGTTAATCAATATCTTTATCAAGTGGTTTATCTCTCACTCCAAGCTTTTGCCGCATTTTTTTAAGGAGAATCTTTAGGGCGGTTCCACAAAGCAATTATTTTTTTTTATTTAGTTTTTCTGAAAATAGTTAAATGTCATGATCGAAAAAAGTCCTCTAGTACTCCATGAAATTTATTTCTAAAATAATAATGTTGGTAATATTGCTCGCTTTGACAATTACGATCAAATAACTGTCAAATTCATGACCTACTATAACATTTTTTTTTCGATTGTATGGTTTTATCTTAGTTGCGATTCTATCAATGCTATTTCTCTTATACGTCTCTGATGTAAACTAGTGTGATATTTGTTGTGCTTTCAACGCTTGGGAAGTTCGAAACCAATAATAATCGTTCTGAATTTCGCATCGGCTTATAGAAAATTATGATCATGTCGCAAATTTTTGAGATGACGTCATTAAGTTTTGGAATGGAATAAACACATTTTAACCTGAGGCATTCGCAAGATTTCGAATTATCCGATTTCTTTAATTTACAATATTTCGTTTTTTCGTTTTTGCACTTTAAGTTTCTAAGTCTTTAATTTTTCAATTTTTCGTTTCCTCAATTTTTCAAGTTCTTGATTTTTAGTTTTCATTTTACCGAATTTTTCATTTTCATTTTCTCGGTTTTATATGACAAATTTTCGTTTTTTCAGTTGTGTTATTTTTTTCAATATTGATTTCCATTTTATAATTTTTCGTTTAGTTTAGTCAATTTTTATAATTTTCAATCTTCGATTTTCCAACTTTTGAAATGTTCAATTTAGCTATTTTTGGATTTCTGAATTATCCGATTTGTTTAATTTACTATATTTCGTTTTTTCGTTTTTGCACTTTAAGTTTCTAAGTCTTGATTTTTTCAATTTTTCGTTTCCTCAATTTTTCAAGTTCTTGATTTTTCTTTTTCATTTTCCCGATTTTTTGATTTTCATTTTCTCGATTTTATATAACAAATTTTCGTTTTTTCATTTCTGTTATTTTTTCAATATTTATTTCCATTTTATAATTTTTCGTTTAGTTTGTTCAATTTTTTAAATTTTCAATCTTTAATTTTTCGATACTTCGATTTTCCATCTTTTGAAATGTTCAATTTAGCTATTTTTGGATTTCTGAATTATCCGATTTCTTTAATTTACAATATTTCGTTTTTTCGTTTTTGCACTTTAAGTTTCTAAGTCTTTAATTTTTCAATTTTTCGTTTCCTCAATTTTTCAAGTTCTTGATTTTTAGTTTTCATTTTCCCGAATTTTTGATTTTCATTTTCTCGATTTTATATGACAAATTTTCGTTTTTTCGTTTCTGTTATTTTTTTCAATATTTACTTCCATTTTATAATTTTTCGTTTAGTTTGCTCAATTTTTATAATTTTCAATTTTTAATTTTTCGATATTTCGATTTTCCAACTTTTGAAATGTTCAATTTAGCTAATTTTGGATTTCTGAATTATCCAATTTCTTTAATTTACAATATCTCGTTTTTTCGTTTTTGCACTAAGTTTCTAAGTCTTTAATTTTTCAATTTTTCGTTTCCTCAATTTTTCAAGTTCTTGATTTTTAGTTTTCATTTTCCCGATTTTTTGATTTTCATTTTCTCGATTTTATATGACAAATTTTCGTTTTTTCATTGCTGTTATTTTTTTCAATATTTATTTCCATTTTATAATTTTTCGTTTAGTTTAGTCAATTTTTCTAATTTTCAATCTTTAATTTTTCGATACTTCGATTTTCCAACTTTTGAAATGTTCAATTTAGCTATTTTTGGATTTCTGAATTATCCGATTTCTTTAATTTACAATATTTCGTTTTTTCGTTTTTGCACTTTAAGTTTCTAAGTCTTTAATTTTTCAATTTTTCGTTTCCTCAATTTTTCAAGTTCTTGATTTTTAGTTTTCATTTTCCCGATTTTTTGATTTTCATTTTCTCGATTTTATATGACAAATTTTCGTTTTTTCATTTCTGTTATTTTTTTCAATATTCATTTTCATTGTATAATTTTTCGTTTAGTTTACTCAATTTTTCTAATTTTCAATCTTTAATTTTTCGATACTTCGATTTTCCAACTTTTGAAATGTTCAATTTGGCTAATTTTGGGTTTCTGAATTGTCCGATTTCTTTAATTCACAATATCTCGTTTTTTCGTTTTTGCACTTTAAGTTTCTAAGTCTTTAATTTTTTAAATTTTCGTTTCCTCAATTTTTCAAGTTCTTGATTTGTAGTTTTCATTTTCCCGTTTTTTTGATTTTCATTTTCTCGATTTTGTCTGACAAATTTTCGTTTTTTCATTTCTGTTATTTTTTTCAATAATTATTTTCATTGTATAATTTTTCGTTTAGTTTACTCAACTTTTATCATTTTTAATCTTTAATTTTTCGATACTTCGATTTTCAAACTTTTGAAACCTTCAATTTAGCTATTTTTGGATTTCTGAATTATCCGATTTTTTTAATTTACAATATTTCGTTTTTTCGTTTTTGCATTTTAAGTTTCAAAGTCTTTAATTTTTCAATTTTTCGTTTCCTCAATTTTTCAAGTTCTTGATTTTTAGTTTTCATTTTCCCGATTTTTTGATTTCCATTTTCTCGATTTTATCTGACAAATTTTCGTTTTTTCATTTCTGTTATTTTTTTCAATAATTATTTTCATTGTATAATTTTTCGTTTAGTTTACTCAACTTTTATCATTTTTAATCTTTAATTTTTCGATACTTCGATTTTCAAACTTTTGAAATGTTCAATTTAGCTATTTTTGGATTTCTGAATTATCCGATTTCGTTAATTTACAATATTTCGTTTTTTCGTTTTTGCACTTTAAGTTTCTAAGTCGTTAATTTTTCAATTTTTCGTTTCCTAAATTTTTCAAGCTCTTGATTTTTAGTTTTCATTTTTCCGATTTTTTTATTTTCATTTTCTCGATTTTATATGACAAATTTTCGTTTTTTCATTTCTGTTATTTTTTTCAATATTTATTTCCATTTTATAATTTTTCGTTTAGTTTACTCAATTTTTCTAATTTTCAATCTTTAATTTTTCGATACTTCGGTTTTCCAACTTTTGAAATGTTCAATTTAGCTATTTTTGGATTTCTGAATTATCAGATTTTTTTAATTTACAATATTTCGTTTTTTCGTTTTTGCACTTTAAGTTTCTAAGTCTTTAATTTTTCAATTTTTCGTTTCCTCGATTTTTTAAGTTCTTGATTTTTATTTTTCATTTTCCCGATTTTTTGATTTTCATTTTCTCGATTTTATATGACAAATTTTCGTTTTTTCATTTCTGTTATTTTTTTCAATATTTATTTCCATTTTATAATTTTTCGTTTAGTTTACTCAATTTTTCCAATTTCCAATCTTTAATTTTTCGATACTTCGATTGTCCAACTTTTGAAATGTTCAATTTAGCTATTTTTGGATTTCTGAATTATCCGATTTCTTTAATTTACAATATTTCGTTTTTCCGTTTTTGCACTTTAAGTTTCTTAATCTTTGATTTTTCAATTTTTCGTTTCCTCAATTTTTCAAGTTCTTGATTTTTAGTTTTCATTTTTCCGATTTTTTGATTTTCATTTTCTCGATTTTATATGACAAATTTTCGTTTTTTCATTTCTGTTATTTTTTTCAATATTTATTTCCATTTTATAATTTTTGGTTTAGTTTACTCAATTTTTCTAATTTTCAATCTTTAATTTTTCGATACTTCGATTTTCCAACTTTTGAAACGTTCAATTTAGCTATTTTTGGATTTCTGAATTATCCGATTTCTTTAATTTACAATATTTCGTTTTTTCGTTTTTGCACTTTAAGTTTCTAAGTCTTTCATTTTTCAATTTTTCGTTTCCTCAATTTTTCAAGTTCCTGATTTTTAGTTTTCATTTTCCCGATTTTTTGATTTTCATTTTCTCGATTTTATATGACAAATTTTCGTGTTATTTTTTTTTCAATATTTATTTCCATTCTATAATTTTTCGTTTAGTTTACTCAATTTTTCTAATTTTCAATCTTTAATTTTTCGATACTTCGATTTTCCAACTTTTGAAATGTTCAATTTAGCTATTTTTGGA